TACGCGATCATTTAAAAGTTACCTGCTATAATATAATGACAACTTCCTTATTCATTTGGTTTCTGCCCAATACAAGTTCTAATACATATTTCTAGCTAAGTACTACAATACATTATATCTGCAATGTGGTAACTGCGACGATTAGAAAAGAAGGCAATTAATGTCTTGATATCCTTAATGTTCTAGGGTCAAAATACCGACCAATCCGTTTCATTCGTTCTGATTTGAATAAATATTCTTAAACAATTATTGTTTGTGATTAAAAGTATCGAAATGCTTGCTTTATAAAATTGTTTAATTTTTCTGCATTACACGAAATGAAATTTTATTTTATTTTTCTAAACCGAGTAACATTGTTATCTAAAGATAAATTTTCTGAAAATCAGCTAAATTTTAACCGTGTCAGACTCTTTTAAAATTTCCATGTTACTTTCAGGCAATATACTTCCGTAATTGTGAAAGAAAATACGCCTTACCTGAAATTTAAAAGAATGTGTGAAAACCTTTATCGGTAATAATTCGAATTCATCTTCTCCTTTCGTTATTCTCAGTTTCTTAATGAAATGTTACGTGATCAGTTTGACCCACTTCGAGACCGCTTTGTCGCTATTCTTCCCCACGTGAATCGAGGTGACACGTGGGCAGCCGTACCAAACGCGGAAGTTAAAACGCTCACAAGCGCTCTTGTGCTTGCTAAATTTTTAATAGCCCTGTGATCCCGAAAGAATGTTTTGTAATCGCTCTCCTCTCATTGTCCATTCACCGAGCACGGGCACAAAAATGGGAGTTCATAGTGCGTCTCTTTTAGGATTTTGTATTGAGCCATCACAGGCTTAAAGTCGACTTTTGTGATGGTGCGGGGCCAACGATTTGATGGACGTTAGTAGGCCACCCATGCTGTGAAACTATGCTCGCGATATCCAGCAGCGCTGGGTAAAAAAGTCCATTAATGGAATTTCTTGCTTTTCCTCCAAACGACTTAATCGTTTTTCCAGAAAAATTATCAAGATTAGAATGCATTCCTTACAAACTCCCTTGTCTGTCCTGGTTTTGTGTTGCGCCGCCACCTACCGGAGCTACTGTGTGAAGATCTTGTGTCGCTTCGACCGCCGAAGTGTTAGGAGGGCAGGTTACCCTCGTCTCTGCGCCCGCGCCCTTTCTATTGAATAGCTGACTCACCGTAGGGGTTGTTTCGGGTCTGGCAGCGACCTTTCCCGTTGCTGGAAGGGCTATTCATCCCCAGCGATATAAATGCGAAATACATTCTGGAGAATCTCTTCGGTGATGGGTTTTGAGCTCGAGAGCATGTTTTTGTAGCTAATTGTGCTAGTAGTAACACAGTTTGTATTTCGAGTTGTTTGAAGAGGTGAAATATTTGCGAGCGCGTGAAATGATTACAAACAGACTCAAGTACACTCGGCTGCCTTCTTTTCGGAAGCTCTTGTGGCACCCGTGACTGATGGCGTTTTTATTTTGTTTGATTTTCCTTTCTTTCTGCTGAGTCTTGCCATTTCCTGTAAATGGCACATGAGTGGTTCGCGTCTTAGGTTTGGGCGTCATTAGTTTATTAGAATGATGATTCATTAGAAACAAGAGTTCGAGATTTGTAAATATCACGTAGTAGAGCGTAAATGAAGCTAAATTTCTTCCATTGGCAAAATAAACATTATGTAAATGGATGCGTATTTTGTAGTTGTTTGTGATAATTTTATTTTTAAATGTGACCTATAATAAAATTGAGAAGTATTTGTGAAACATTACTTATACAGAGATTTCTATAACACAGAAAATAGTTCAGTACATCTTATTGGCCTATACTAGTATGTATCTATCACACCACCGTGTCTAAAGTATAGCCCTTTTCGCGACCATTGTATCATTTTCTACCGCTTTTATTCAACTTTTCTTATAAGAATAGTTAAAAGGTTCATAAGATTATTGTAAATCAACCGAATGATGCAATAAATCATTATCGGACAGTGCTTTATTTCGTAGTATTTTTTTTGTCAGTAAAGTCCACTGTTTACTTTCTCGCTACCGCTTACGCAGTTGAGAGAAAGTTATATAATGCTGCGCGAAAAAACGGCGAATTTTTTGGAAGAAAAACTCTTTTTAATGGCCTTGGTAACGAAAACGTGGATAAATCCAGTTACTAAATTTGGGAAAAAGTTTTCTAAGACGTGGTGTAGCCAGAATCCAAGTTTTGTGAGTCCTTAATACCAAAATATCAAATGACAGCGACAGTCTGTACACCGTGTGTCCGTCTGTCTGTGAAGATCGCTCACGGCTAAACCGTTCAGCCGATTTTTTCCAAAACTGTTATTCCCCAATAAATTTGCCCGATGACGCGGCTTCTTGAATTTGAATACGATATTTTAATTTTTTTGTGGAGGGGGGGGAGTTCTTTACATGAATCCCCTAAGACATTTTGAAGGTAACTGTTCAAAAAGAATGGCTCCATCATTTTTGATTAAATTGTGTTGTTGGATTGTGTGAAGGATTTTTAAGAAAATAGCGCAGGCCTCAGGTTCGTTTGAAACTGATTTTTTTGAAAATTGCAAAAAATTCAATTTTTTTCGGAGTCTTCCTGCAACTACAGTTATGAAGATAGAAGTATTTCCCCTTAATGAAGTCTGTTCTCTGGAGATATATTTTGAAATAAAATCATGTACAAGCTTCGGAAAATTTGAGTATTTTCCTCGTAATTTAGCGTGAAAGTACGGGCGAGAAAGTTCGTGCTGTTTTAGCGTCACTAGTTTTGTAAAAGGAAAGCGCTCTCCGGACGTGAGTCGGGAGGCACCAGACACGCGGAGTTCCTTGAATGCCGGTGTGCGACGGCGCTGCGCTGTCCGCAGAGCCCCGCGCGCTGTCCGAGCCGCGCCTGTCGGAGGGCGAGGGCGGCGGCGCGGGCGGCGCGGGCGCCGACGACGAGCCGGCCGCCGTCATCGTGGACGTGGAGGCGGTGGTGGAGGAGACGGCGGCGCCGCTCGCCGCCACGCCCGCCGTGCGCGGCCACACGCCCATCTACAGCTACGCGCCCGAGGACGTCACACGCCTCATCGACTCCAGCGGCAGGTGAGATCCTTGCCTTGCCCCTTGCCGTGCCTCTTGCCTAGCCTCTCGCCTTGCCTCTCGCCTTGCCTCTCGCCTTGCCTCTTGCCTTGCCTCTTGCCTTGCCTCTTGCCTTGCCTCTTGCCTTGCCTCTCGCCTTGCCTCTCGCCTGGCCTCTCGCCTGACCTGGCCTCTCGCCTGGTCTCTCGCCTCGCCTCTTGCCTTGCTTGAGACTCCTCGCTTTTTCCTTGTCCTTTGCCTTTTCCTCTGACTTGCCATGACCGTGCAGTGTCTTGCCTTGCGTTACTTGAGACTCCTCGCTTGTCCCTCGTGATTTGTCTTCTCTTGCCTTTCCATTCTCTCTTCCTTGCCCTTCCCCCAGCGTTGCTAGAATCGTCCCCTTTCTTGACGTGCCTTTCTTCCAGCCTCGCGCTTTGCCTTGCCACTTGCCTTGCGTTTTCGTTTCCTCCATCTCCTTTTCTTCTTTGATTTCGTCTTCTTCTTTATTACCATCCCTACAAGTCTTGCTCCACCGCCTTCTACATTAACCACAATTAACCTATTTTCTCTGTCCGTATCCTTTTCTTCTTTATCTTATTTTCTTTATACCCCTCCTCATATCATTGTAATCGTCGAACCCTTTATAAATCCCTTAGTAAGGTATTTTTTTTTCTTTTTTCTCCTATCCACACTCTTTTTGCAGATCTCTTCATTCCATCTCTACTTCCTTTTTATATTACATAAACAGATACTACCTTGTAGGAGCGGCTATTCTATTGTCTATAATAAAAGGCAATTAGCATTTATGTTGCAACATGACCTGTAGCCAACTTTTCCCACTCAGGGCCAGCTATTGTCGTTCTCTAATGATACTCATTTTCATTCTGTTCCCAGAAATTCGCTCAAAAATTTGAATTGAGTCGTTTTTATGTGTAGATCCCTTTCCAAAGAAAATTAATGGTTAATAGAAATCCTGCTCCAAACCTTTGGTTCCAACAGCCTTTTCTTTCGTGTTATTCTTTTTAAAAAATGTTTGTTAATCTTCCTCTTCGCTCTTTTAATAGCATTCCCTATATCAATTGCACTCACTATAAAAATATCGACACAGATGTTGAGATTCCACGAATAATCATTTCTTCGCTGTCTTTATAGAATAATAAAACTTCAATGTACGCTTCATATATGTATAATATTGTTTAAGACAAATTTGACAACTAATTTTGATGAATTAACCAACTTTAACTTAACTGATTCGTATGAATGAAATGAATATTGCTGAAAGATTTGCAGATGTGACAACCCAAAATGAAGCAATAAAAGGGCAGGGATAATAAATGATTACCATGTGTCTCATATGTAACTGAAACATTCGTAAACGGCTTCAAAATAAACGCTTGCTCATAAATGTTAGTCCGAAATTCTAGTCCGTATTTTCTCAGATGCACGCAATTCAAGACAGTTGCACTATAAGCTATATTCCAAGAAAAATAAACTCAATAATTTGAAAATATAGTCATGAGCATTTATCAATTGTAATAAAGATATTTTCGTCACGCCCTGAGTTGCTAGGAAACGAGGTGACGTAGTTTGTATTAATTAAATCGTATTGATAATTATTTTTCGGGCTAACATTGGATGCTCTAGTGAAAATGAAACTTCCTGTAACCACCGTGATCACATTCTCAGGAAGGGAAAGGTCACTTAGGCTCCGTTTTTCTTTACTCTTTGAATCGATATAGCTAAAGGTACTGAATAACATGACATCAATAGTATTTTAATGTATAATAAATCTATTCCCTTTTGATTGTAAAGCCATAAAATATGCTCGTGTGTACATCAACAGAGTGCAAATAAACCTTTGCCCGAAATGTCGAAGTCTGCTCCCTCAGTTGGAATCTTCGCCCCGCGCGATTGCGGCGTCTTGAGTGTCTCTGCGAGCTTCTCTGCCCATGACCCCCGCCTCCAGCAGCGCCTGTTGCAGCGACAGCGACCGCGACCGCGACCGGGAGGCGAACGGCGCGGGCGGCGGCGCTGGCGGTGCGGAGGTGGGCGTGACGCGCTCCGACTCGGCGCGCACCGAGGCCAGCTGCAAGCTGCTCGACGAGAACATGAGCCTGCTCACGCGCCTGCGCGCGCAGGAGCACATCTGCAGGTGCGCCCCCCCCCGTCGCTCCGTCCGCCCATGCTCCTTCTCCCCCTCGCCCGGTCTGATCTCTCGGTCAGAGGGGTGTCTTAGGGGCAGGCAATTGTTTCGTAATTGTCTCATTTGATAAGATCACGCATCTTCATTTTCATCCATTAGTCTTGACGATATATTGCTTTTTCGAAACAGCAATGGATATTAATTTCTTTCAAATTAATAATTGATTTAATTTTTATAATTATAATAATAAATACAATAGTAGTAAACCCTTTCAAAAATAGCACTCGTTTTTTGACCTTGCATTTGGAAAATTAGTTTGTATATTGTTTCAGTTCATGATAATATACATTATTTTTTGCAAGGGTTGTCAAAGGTTGAAATTAATGAAGGTAGGTCTAATGGAATCTAAATACCAATTGAGTAATTAGAACGAATTTCATGAAGTGCTCTTTTTTGTTTTTATTTAGTTTGTATAATTTTTTAGTACTTTTTATTTAGTTTTTATAATGAAACAGCCACTTAGTGCTTTGTTACTTTCAGATAATTGCGTAAAAACTTTTAACATAGTCGCAAATACTATATTTACTATCAAATAAACACACCTTTTAATGATTTGTTTTGTTTTTTAAAACGTGAAAGGGTTCTATATGCACATCTGGAAACGTGTTTGGTGTAGAAAAATTTTAATCATTATTAAATGCCCTTGAAAATGACAATGCGCATCATTATAATCGAAGAATATGCATACGTCCAAGCAAAAACGCTAATGATCAGAATACAACATATTTCTCTAATGTAATCATATTATTCGCTTTTTGATCACGACGCTTTTTGAAAAAAGTATTATTTCCCTTCAGTCCAATATACCATCAATCATTTTATATTATTATTTTCATTTACCAAAATAAGAGAGGGCTGCATTTTTCATGCATTCATTGAGACGTAATATCACATTTCTTTCTTAATAACACTGATATCAATAAAATAACATGAATTACATTTTTCTTCTGGAATGCAGTGTTCTTATACCTTATGCTTGTCGCCATACTAAGTCATTTTACATTGCTCTGTATTATATGCTGGTTATTTTAGACACTAATCGTTTTGCTAAATTAATAGAAGAGAGATAAACTGTAAATTTCCTATGCAAGGATGCTTCATTGTCGAATAACATCTGCTAATCAGACACTTCCTTATGCGCGTCTTCGTTGCAGGAAGATCGAGAACGAACTCGAGGATATCGGTGACAAGATAGACGATGTCGCAAAGACCCACGAAGAGGAGCTCGGTAAGGCACTTCCCATTCTTATATTCGTACTTAATTTTTAGTTATTCCGAACGTGTTAAATCCTAAAATAGTTTTGCAGAAAGATGTTCACTTATTTTAAGTATATATAGCCGCTCATTAGCATAAAATCAGAAAAACAATTTTGTTTACTTGTCAGAGCTATTCCCCATATATTTTTAAAAAATATAGTAAAATATGGTTGTTTATCCTTTTGAGCCTAAATTATTTCAGGGGCAGTCCCAAAAAATATTTAGAGAAGAGTTGAACATTTCGAGAAATTTCGTATTTGGGATATGCTGTTATTAAGTCAAGTCTTGTAATAATTCATTGGGCATTTACTCCGGAATATCGCACCACTCTTAATGGATGCTATTTTATCGAGCTTCCTAGAATTTCCCTAGCACACACAGCTAAAAGCTAATTACTTAATGTAAGAACTCAGGAGTGGGTAAATGAAATGGGATCGTTGTGAATATTACGAATATTGTGAAGTATTGTTCTTACGTGGAGTTTCGTTTCCTATAGAGGAAATATGTTTGACCTGCGCCTTCTTAAGGCCCATTCAGAATGCAAACGTAAATATAAGCATGGCGTTAACATAAACGTTAGGACTACGTCCATAAGCGGACTCATTCACATGAGTTTAACACGTAAGACGTTAACTTAAAAGCTTGCAAGCTTCAAGCTTCTGTGCTTAAGTAGGACACAAGAAATGAACCAATCACAGTACTTTAACTCGAAATCGAGAATCGAAAGAGCAGCGAAGTCGTTAGACGAGCTAACGTTATTATGGGCCATAGACACTGTCAAAACCTCGAAATCGATTCTCACCTCCAACCAATGTCAACTAGATTGTCTCACAGCCAATAGAAACTTTAATTTTGCTTACGTTTATGTTAGACATTGTGAATACTTCAGTCCGTCGCTTTACGTTTACGTTAACGTTAACGTTAACACTTAACTGTTAACGTTTACGTCTCCGCGTTAAGCTTGTGTTTACGCTTGCATAGTGAGTGTGTCTTTAGCTTTGCACTGAGCGCGGTGCGTGTGCGTTGCAGAGCGCCTGCGCCGGGAGGAGCGGGAGCTGACGGCGGCGGGCGCAGGTGAGGCCGCGGGCGATGGCGGGGGGGCGGGGGCGAGCACGGGCGCGCGCCCGCGGCTCCGTCGCGCAGCTGACGCGCCCGCCCCGCGGCCCCCGGCGTGCGCAGAGTCTCCGCGCGCGGGGGCGGCGGGCGACGGCGCGGGCGAGGGCGAAGGCGAGGGCGACTCCGAGGAGCAGGTGGTGCGCCTGCGCACGCGCATCCACGAGCTGGAGCGCCGCCGCGACCGCCTGCGCAAGGAAGGAGCCACCCTGCAGGTGAGTGCACTTTCACGCCGCCCCTCCTCGCCCTTCAGCCGCTAGGCCACACACCCCTTCCTGCTAGAACTTCACGGCGAAGTTCGTGACATTCTGATATCCTAGGTTTGTGTTTGAATTTGGTGTTATTTAAATGAAGTACTGTGTTTTGCAATAGTGTGTGTGTGAGGGGGGGGCACATACGAAGACTTACCTTGTTTACAGAATTTTTTTTCCGGAGATTTTTGGAGATTTAGTAATTTAGCATATATATCCCCTCTCCTCCCTTCCCTCCCGCTCCCTCTCGCTCCCTTCTGCTGGTTCCGTTCTTCCTTCTCCTTCCTTCTCTTTCCCTCCTTCCTTTTCTTTCCTATCTCCTTCCTTCTCTCTTCCTCCGTCTTCTTCTTCCTTCTCACTCACTGTCCTCTCTTTACTTTTATCTCCTTTACCTCTACCTCCTCTCTTTCTCTATTCTCACTCCATCTTTTCTCTCCATTCTTCTCTATCTATATCCTCCTCCCTCCCCTTCTTATTCGTTTTCTCTCCCCCCCATCCATTTCCCTCTTAATTCTCCCCATTGGATAAAAGATTTACTAGTCTGGCATTATAATCAATATTATTGACGAGACTAGTATTATGTATCGTTGTAGGAAACATCAAATTGTTCCTTATCAAGCACTCCCAGGTAATGTCCTATAGAAGAGTACTTTTCGATCACTCTCTAGAGTTTTCTAAGTTAATTCAATGCGTTTTCTTTGTTTAATAAAAATCATACTACTTTGTGAAGAAACGATATGTTGCTTAATTGCAACTTCAAACGTATTCATGAACCAGGATTATTGCCTTTCCTCGAAAATATGTTTCCTCTTCATTTCATTGAAAGTAGCTGAGCTCTTTCGTCACTTAATTCAACAAACTTCATCAGAAGAAAGAGGAAATGACGTCTCGGGATTCCAAAAATAATCTAAGAATATTATACAGAGAAGAAGGAAGGAGAAGAAGAGTCGCTTTTATTTTTATATTTCCGTTTCGAGAGTCGTGAATAGCCTGATAGAAAGCGTAGCACGGCGAAAGAAATCGAATCTCGTCCACATTTACATTCGGGAATCATCACTAGTTTTAGATTCTACATGTTTTCACATTGATCACTTGTAATATTTGCATTCCTTTCTGCTGCAATAATTTGACTTCTCTCGCTTTCCGTACTTCATTACAAAATCCGCAAAAGTACATTTGATACAATTAGTGAATACGCGATCTGCTATATACATCTGTTAATGTTAACCCACTTTATTTTCGTTGATCTTAGTGTCAGAAATATCTGTGTAGACTTTATACCGATAGACCTTACCGCTACACTACAAATTTCTTACCTTATGTTTTAGTCGCTTTTTTCGGATTCTCACTTCTTCCGCAATTCAGACTAAATTTTACCAGAATGATGACACTATCTGAATGCAATTTTGCTCACTAGGCTGATAATGTACTTCTAGAACGGTTACTCTTGTGACCTTCCTTGGTTATTTCTATTTCTCCCAATCGCAAAGACCCCGGCAACAGAAATTTATAAATGTATTGGTGTGTTTAGCGTCACGCATTCTTACTAAACGGTTATTTGTTGAAATTTTGAAACTTTTTCAGCAAGTGATAACGGTTATTACAGTGTTTCAGAACAAATGTTACAAAATTAGAGGGTATATGGAGGAGTCGGAAATGCTGTCCTTTTACCAATAATCGTATTGTATAAAATCGTAAATAACGGAGTTCGTGCATTTATACGTGTGGCATTTCCCCCGTGAATTGTAGGCAACCCTGTACGACTGATGTTCGTTAGAAAGAAGAAACCTCCTTGACTGCATCACAGCGTGGCCTGCCGAAATTCAGTTCCTAAGCTGTTGCCTACAAAGGGGCAACTGCCACATATATCATTGCATATAACTCTATTTTATGCTATTTCCAACTACATGTTCATTGGCGGAAGTGAACATTTTCGACCCATTTAAATGCCCTATACGTTGTAACATTAATTCTGAGACGTTCTGTAAATAAAGAAGACGACAGTAGTTGGGTAATTGCAATTGCAATTTAGAACCTTGGGTGAAGTAACTGACAATATGAGTATTTTCGACGTCGTAGACCGCTGGTTTGCACCGCGAAATCGGACGCTGGTTTGCAAGAATCCAAAGCCGGAGTATAAAGATGTTGAGAGACATTGTACAATAACTACGAGTTGCAACAACTTGTACATTCTCTTCAATTTATAAGCGAAAGGAAGAGCTAAATAAAACCACGACTTGAAGACTAAAGACTATTTAAGGAAAGCGGGTGCAAGGATGTAAAGATTTGCCACTGTGTCACGTGCTGCCGGGGCTGTGGCAGAAATGCGCGGCCGGAAGGGGTCTGTCTCCACGGCGCGGCGGGGGCGACGTACACGGCGGGCGTAATGGCGGCGACGGACGAGGGTGGGCGACAGCGTGTCATCGCCCACCGCCCGCCTCGAGCCGCGATCGCCCGCGCGGCAGTGCGCCCAACCCACGGTCGCAGGGCCCAACGAAACTTTTCTTTTTTCGGCTCTAAAGAAGCGTTCCGCTGGCATGAAATAAATTATGCGTAACATGCACAAAGAATGGTAAAACAATATGGGTTCCGTTTTTTAACATGTCTCAATGTGTCTGGCTACATTCAAACGTATTTTCAAGGTGAGAGATGTTTAAAAAGAACTGTTAACATTATTTATTATATGTACAAAAAAGTGAGGTACTGAAAACGTCAGAAATGTTTGATGTCTTTTCAAAGAGTCGTTTTTCATTTAGTTTCATGAATTATTTCAATTTTTCAAAATTTGAAATCTATTTTGAACCAATAATTTCATAACTATTTTTCAATACGGTTTTGTTACACCTGTATAACACCGCCGGGAAAATGAAAAGTCAGAGTTACCAGCCGGTGTCCTTTAAGGAATTTAACAGTCCGTCGACCGATAAGAACAATCGAAAGAAATGAGTTATACCGGTAAGATGACTCATGAGTACTTCTATTCAAAGGATAGTTATTTATGATACGAGTGGTAAAAGTTTGCTAGTAGGAAATGTTGCGACACAAGGTCGAGTGTGGCAAACCTACGAACAAAATCACTCTCACCACTATTTTTTTTAGACAGCCGTACGAACTTTCATTTTATTTTAATTCAAACATACAAATCATTACATTATATTAAGGTCAGTTGTAGCTGATGCGATCAGACGAAAGTGGTTTCTTTGTTGTATTTACAGTTTTATCTGAACAGTGTGGCATCGATTCACATTTAGCACGCTTTGCACACGTTAAAAGTAATTGCTTTTATTAGCGGCTGTCTAAAATATATATTTCTTATTTGTTTCCTCTTAATATGAAAGTAATATTATGAAAAGTATCGCAACACGGTCGATATCGCAATATACGGATTTCCTTTGATTTGCCGGGCTTGCTATGATTTGTTGTATGTGAAAGTAATGACGTTAATATTTTTTGTATACTGGCATTATTTATGACCTTTTCTATTGCAAGAAATCAATTATAAAAGGGGATTTTACGACACCAATTACGACGTGTTAGCTTTTTTACGTAACTAATTATTGCGTCATCACACATTCAGCCAATCGCAGCGAGAAAATCGTGGACAGACGATTTTTTTTTTTTTTTTTTGCCCAATGTCAAGTACCTTAGACGTAACAAGAAAGCTCTTTTGCAAAATTAAGTTTTATTCTCTTATAAATTTGTAATGCTGTTACACAAAAAAAAGCGTAAGCAACTCGTTTATAATGTTGCTTTATTGCTTTCGTACAAATTTTTAAAACTCGCTCCTGAAGGCGCTCCTTTTCAAAACAAATACTTATGCAATAAATTTAACATTATTACGTAATTGTATAAACTACTATTACGCACGCGGTTGTGGCCGCTGCGAACCAGCGCGCGCCGGCGGGCGGCGGGCGTGTGTGTGTGTTTGCACGCGCGTGCCGAGCAGACGCCGCGGCGGCGTCCGCCGCCCCGGGCAGCGGCGGCGCGTGGCCCGGCGACAGCGGCCGTCGCCCGCGACAGTTCCGCGAAGACGGAGGGGCCGCCTCTGATGTGCGCCCAGACGCCCGAAAACAAACCGACACCCTCGTTCTTCCTCTCTGCGGCTGGTATTAAAAGAAATTCCTCACCCAGCAGCACGGCGGCTTCCACACGTGCTACTTTCATGCTTGTCTCTTTGAATGTACTCCTCAGATTTGTGAAATGTTTAAGCGTAGAATTTTAGTTGCAATGCGTGTATTTGGATATCCATTACGACAAAGAAGAAACGCTGTCAAAACCCACCCGATATAATAGTAATAGAAATATTTTTGCTTTTTTGTAATGTATCAAGATCGATAAGGAACAAAAATGCATCTCTTCCGATATTCTAATATAATGTTTCAACCCCCTGGAAAATATTTCCTAAAGAAGATTGTTTTTCTATTTTTGAGATTTGTTATTTTTTATGCATGTATATCAATCTAATTTATTTATGAGTACTATTTGTCTAAAGATAAAAATGCATCTCGTCAGCGAAAGTAACATCCGACTAACGGTAAAAGTAACGTCTGAGCACTGGTTACGTACTGCTTTGCGAATTTCAGCCTTTTCTTTCTATTGAGGTCGCTTATAAATTACTTTTTCCTTGCTACTCTTCCATTAAATCTTTCGTTTCCACTTTTCTCAGTTTTGGAGAGAACTTTCTTTCCTGATTCTTATAATAACTCAGCAGCAATTTTTGGTGTAAACTATTCTGGATCAATTACGTTATATTAAGGTGGCCGGATTTTAAAGTCAGACACCTTATTTCATTGAATGGAACCTCTATCTCGATGAGGTATCGAGATTACGAGGTTACATGGAAAACGAAGAATCATCGCTCAGACATAAAAAAACACATCATATTTTCGAATTTTGAATCCAGTACATGTACGTAACGTTTATGTCATCTGTCATTTCTTAATGAATATCATTTGACGGGCAAGAGAAAGTTAAAAAATAATCTTATTTAGACATTAATTGTCAATAAATTTAATGAATTATATTTTCATTAATTCAGGGGTTTTGTAATTAGCTTGTTATATTGTTATATGATTGTGTTACTAATCATCGTTGGTAGGGTAGAAATTTGACTTGCCTTTTGAAAAATGAAGCCACTGATTTCTGATTGGATTTGATTATTCGAAGCAAAAGTTCACACCGAAATGAATTACCTAATCTGAGATACTGGAATTTATGTTGACTGTTCCACTCGTAAAATTAAAACCAATAGTGTTTAACTATACATACAAAATGGCCCGATCAGAGCGGTGTAATTAAAAACGTTTATCGCTTATTCTCTCCGATTTTTCTTACCACTTCTACCTACTGACCAACTACCTACTGACCAACTGTGACTCTATCTTAGGAGGCGTTATACATCGATCGCTATGTCGATGTCCAATAAACTGCGTATGTACTTATAACATAACCTCTGTTTTAACATACGCTTTCAATTATTTTTAATGTTTGTCACTCACATTCTGGAACTCTGTTGGACATAATTTCACCCGTGGAATTACCCTATTAAATTTACTTACTACTCGTTCCTTGGAAAGTCTCAGATAAAGTTCCCCTCCTCGCTTCGCGAGTCCCTCACTTAGTCGGTTCCGTGTCGCTTCGCTATCGCGTAGCGAGGAGAGAGAGAGAGAGAGAGAGAGAGAGAGCTTTCCGCAGCAGCCGAGAGCAGCACGGTCGCTGTGCTCCATATGGCTGTACTCGGCGTTCAGGCGGAGTCAGGAGGTTAGAGCAAGCGGCCTCCGTACGACCTTCGCGGACCTCGCGCTCTATCGGAGGCGCTCAGTACTCGCAGCAGATTTCGACTTCCCCTCAGTCAGCCCTCGCGTTTCTGGTGTTGTTTGGAGCCGCACGAAGCCGTACTTATTTTTTAGTATAGAGTTATCTAATATCTAAATACTCACTTTAGATACTGATGGCCAATGCCTTATTAATATTTAACGAAGCAGAAGCGTCATGCCGGAATACTTTCACCTTTCCTTGACAGATGATTAGAAAGGTCATTACTTTAAATACTAGAGACGTGGTACTTCATCCAAATAACTCACAAGTCTTTTTCAGACGTTGGTCGTCTTTTTTGTATCTCAATAAGAGAAGAGAAAAAAATTATTAATACCTCTTAAAGCATGAGGATTTACAAAAGAGTTGCTCCTTGGGAATGATACGTGATATGCATCAGCACACAATTGGAATTTTTAAAGAACTTCCATGAATTATGTTTTGTCCTCTCAACCTTTCTATACAAATATTTTCAAAGGTGGTTATCTTCAGTTAATTATGATCGAAGATGGTGAATCCCATTGCTTCATTGCTCATGTGAGTGTTGTAAAACGTACATGTAAATAAAATAAAGAGTATTATTTATCTGTAAATAAACTCTTGTATCGATACATCAAAAGATAAGATTGCCTTCTTGTTGCGCCAGTTAAGCCGGCGCGGCTATGAAAGTGCGAAGTAGAGCAACTCTACCAAATCTCCTGGAACATATTCAGAAGATTTAATTAAGAGATTTAATGTTAACGCTCTGTCCTGTATGTGTGAAAATATTTACTCGCAACAGTAGCAACAAAATGGGTACGTGGTTAAGCTAATAACACTGTTTTTCAATTTGCACGACAATTATGCTTTATTAACATTAAAAGTTTATGTCTCTGACAATGTTTAATAAAATATTATCTAACGAATTCATTGAGAAATCTATAAAAATGACTTCTTTCATTCTAATTCTCTAATAAATATACGAAATTCTTCTAAGAATGTCTTACATTATACGTAGTCAATACATTAAGTGGTGTTTGGGGGGAAGTCTGAAAAAGTATTAAATCTCGAGTACACATTTCATAATAAATACCAGCTTTCACGCTGTTTTCTGAACGAGGGATCCATACTGTGTCAGTATTACGAGGGCCCACGGCGAGGGTGGTAGGAGTTTGAGAAGAAGAGAGAAGCATAAAAATTAAGAGAAATATAAATTGATAGAAACATATTAGTAAACATTATTTGGAAAAAATTAAGGTGATAGCAATGTTATATTTTAAAATATTTCTTATGAGTTGCAAAATGTATTATATTAAAAGTTACCTTCTGTAATGTTTGTTTCAAAATGAGCTTCACACATACATTCTTGGCTATCCAGGAGACGCCGCGTCGTTGGCTGAGAGGGCGACGTTTCGCCTGATATGTCGCAGGATTCCTCAGGGCAGTAACGAGTTCGTCGGCCTCTCAGCCAACGACGCGGCGTCTCCCGGATAGCCAAGAATTTAGGGATTGAGCCGCGGAAGCCTTAACGTGTGCCTCGGAGTCACCAATTTTGAGGGCATTGGAAGTGCGCGGGCGGGGGGGGGGGTTCACCACGTGGTTCGCGGTGTGGTGTCGCGCAGGGGTGGTTCGAGCAGCACTCCGCGGGGCAGCGCCGGAGCTGGCGCAGAACTGGTGGGCAACAATTGAAGCAGCTGCAGGCGCGGCGCCGGCGCCGGCCCGGTGGCGGGCGCGGGCCCCGACCCGGACCTCGACCCCGACGCCCTGCGCCACATGCAGCGCCTGTCCTCGCAGCTGCTGCAGCTGGTAAGTGCGTTGCACGCTGCCAACCCTTATTTCTCTCTACAGGCCACTTCACTTGGCAAAAGTCCGTGGTGGTAGCAGATATCTTGTGGTATTCCATGGTATTGTAAAGGAAATAATCTCCACAAAAGTTTTTTTGGCAATTCACTTCACTTGGCAATATGGCGACGGCGAGACTTGTTTCGTCGTGTTTTGAGGACTCGGGATCACTACAGGATTTTGTGGCTTCGGTGGCTGGTGTTAAAATAATAGGGAACCCCAGGGCACATTCACTTGGCTTTGAAGAGAATAGCAGTATGACCACCGAATCATTGGCACGGTGTGATTCGACATCCCCACATTTCACTGCAAGCTTTTATTTTCGTGTAATCATCCTCCAGTGACGTGTGTCAAATGTATTGTGTGCAGGAGATGTTCAAAATTATGCCGTAAAAACCGCAATACCGTATTTATTTCTCTAGCTGAGAATTAAGTTGGAAACGATATCATCAGTTATCAAGGAAAGTGACTCAACTCAATTTAGTAGAGAGAAGAAATGTGTTTAGAGAATATTACGTACGACTAGTTATTTAATTAAGCCAGTTCATAAGACGCCCTTTCTATCACGACCTCAGAATGAAAAGGTTATCTCCGACAGGTTTGGGGATGTTTTACTGTCGAACTCTCTATTGTGAGGCCTATTATATATTCGCATTACAACAATTTTCAAATCAGACTTGTAGACAACATTCTATTAAGAAACCAACATGAAGTCGTAGGCTTCCGCGGCCAGAGTCATGTGTGTGATCTTGGCTGTCTAGGTGACGCCGCGTCGAAGGCTGTGTAGCCGACGTTTCCACCATCTTTTCGTAGTCTTCCTCAGGGCTGGTATGCTGGTATGCCGGCATACCAGCTCTGAGGAAGACCACGACAAGATGGTCGAAACGTCAGCAACACAGCCTTCGACGCGGCCAGCCCAGACAGCCCAGATCACGCACAAGAAACTAACATGGTTGCAATTTGGATGATCCGTGCTGAACAAAACCATTTTCTACAAAACGTCAATTTTAGATGTGACATATTTCTTGCGCATCAACGATCTGTGTTCGAATCCACGTGACTGACACGCGTTGAGACACACAATGCGTCCCTCCCCTCGCATCCACATGATCCGGCATCTGATTGGTTGGGAAAAAGCCGATAGCCGATAGTAGGTCGGCGCCGGATCTCTCCATGCAGTGGGGGATGACAACCGCTACCTCCCGCGATAATATCGGACTATGTATGTGCTTTAATTAATTTGAACGAATGAGGGAGAATACATTTGTGTAATATGTGATCGCATTGCTTCCCTTAAACCAACACTAACTTTACGGTTCTGCGAGGGTACTTCGTATTGATCTTAGCAGATGGCACGCCCGGAATCGCTTATCAACCAACCAACCAACCAACCAACCAAACAGGCATCTCAGAGGCCGCTCTGCCACACACTTGTCACAAAGCAATCTGTGATTAGTAAATCCGCATCTAATGTTGAAATCGACCCGCCGACGCCAAAGAGCGCACCGCTGCCGCCCTCGCTCCCGCGCTTTTGATCCCGCGGCCAAAGCCTCCCGCCACGGCACGCCCCGCCCGCCGCTGCCTATGCTTCGCCACCCCCTTCGTCACCTGGCATACGACACTTTCAAGCGAAACTTCACAACCATCAGCTATCCTAGTGCTTATTCAAATAGTGTGGCGCGCCTCCTGCATGGAGGCGCACACGTCTTCAGAGGGGAGCGTGAGAAGTCCGTAAAAATGTAATTAAATAATGTTCTAATGATTGATAATGCCTTAATTATTTCTACATGAATAAATTACGATCGGACTATGTGTGATTTAACGAAATGGAGGGAGAAAATATTTTGGTATAATATGTGATCGCGTTGCTTCCATGAAACCAACATAGACATTGTCAACTATCAGTTATTTTATGAGCACTGGCGCGTTGGCGCAATAGAATACAGTTGCATTGTTGTGGGAGATTCCTTCCTGTACCTGTCCGAAATTTGGTGTTCTGGAAAGAATCAGTATCCAGAGTTATTGCGTGTTTTGCTTCCTTGTTCCTTCTTACGTATCTGAAAAAGAGATTTTTGGTCCTGGTGGTGATAAAAAAAATTATTGATCAACAATAAATCTCCAGAATGAGATGCGTACTGATTAAGTGTTTTTTTTCTGTCATCCGTAACGAATAGTGGGGTAATTTGAGGTTCTTATTTTTTTGTAAACCATGTACAATTTTGTAGCTTTGAATATACTCTCGTACGAGTGACTGAACCCCTTCAAGCACTAAAATGCAGCTCAATGGATTATTTATTTAGACTACATGACGCCAGCAGAATTCGGATTCGTAGACAGTTTTTACATTACTATTAGTGTGAATTAAAACAAAGTTGTTTTTTTCGCCTTTTTTTATCACACCATTGTAATAACTGAATCAACAAATGTAATCTACGAAGATAGTAAAGTGCCGTAGTATCTCCAGTTAATTTCATTTGCCTGAAAGACACAATTATCGTCGCCATTTCAGCCGAGACAAAGTATCTTCCTCTCCAGAATCCATCGCCCCTCCACGAGGGGGCCGTCGCTCCGATCTGTTTCCCTGAGACGCTTCGCGCGCTCCCTCCTCTCCCGCCCCTTCCCTCCGCCACCACCCGCCGGCGGCGAGTAAATTAATTAGAGCGGCCCCCGCGGCGGCGGCTACGGAATAGAAAGTTTCCGGGGCGGCGGCGGGGTCGGGGGCGGGTGGCTGTGGGCAACGGCTCTTCGCGGGCCCCGCGGGGCGACAGCAGCGGCTTTGTGGCTGCCCCTCCGAACCCCTTCCGGGGCGCTGGCGGCTGCGCCGGGGGGCCGCCCCGCCCCGCCCCCGCACCCACGTGACCCGGAATCGGAGAGAGCGCGCCGCCCGCTGCGCAGCCCGGCCGAGAGGAGCCGTTTGCCCTGATTAATGGCGGCGCGCGCTGTTTACGCCCTGATTTCGGGCCGCCGCGTCGAAGCCGCCGCCGCCGCCGGCGGCGGCACCGTTGGGCGAGGTTGCGTCTCGCCCGGAACGCCCGCGATGCAAAACAATCGACGGCGCGCCCGGGAGAGACGCCGGCCACGTGAGGGAACGAACATAGTGGGCGACTGAGGAAAGAAGGGGCTCCCTGGTTAGCTAGCGTTTCAACTGTTGTTGTTTTCGCGACCCGTTTTTTCCCCTTCACCGTAATTTTAGTGATACTGAGATTTCACACCATATCTCTCATGCTACATCGTATTAATTCGCTTTCAATGTCAAAAAGTGTACAGTCACTTTGAATGAGTAGTACGCTTTCACATTTCCATTAAAGTTTTTCTAAATTTTGTCAATATCAAGTTTGTTCACGTTAATTAATTCTCATTAACTGAAGAAAACGATGAAGTATGCTAAGTTGTACAAAAAAATTAACTAGCTAACAAATGAGTAATGAATGTGAAAACACTTAACATAAATGGTGGAATATAGAGCAATGAAATAGAAGCAATGGCATTTTTATAGCTTGTATTTCCTTGATGGACTATAATCCCCTGCACCGAATACAAAAGCAACGTACTTAGTACTACACATTGAAGGAGAGTGTTCTTTCCCTCCACGTTTCTTCGGACTTCCTCGGTTTTCCTTTCCACCCAATTCAACCATCTCACGCTACCTCTTTTGAGACCGTGCTCACGAATTATGATACTTTTCACAAGCACTCACATGAAGTCCACAAGGTTGTCTAGGATCCATTGCAGCGTATGGTCAAAAAGAAGCAACTGTGGCTTTCACTCACAAAGCGAGGAATGTTTCAATCTTCGAGTTCAGCATTTTTTTTTGTGTTATAATGGAATATTGTGTTATTTATTTGCTGCAGATACTCAGAATTGCTTAGAAATAGGCAATTGTTACAGAAAATTTCAAAATTTGGTCACTGAAATGAATCGGTATTGAAAAGTTTATACTTTCCTTGGCTGACCACTTCTTTCATTCTCAGAATCTTTTCACAAAGATTTTTGATCAAGGATGTTCGGAACTTAACTCAATAACGTCTGACCTGGAAGCTTCTTCACTTTCATCTCTGAACTTTTTTTTCCCGGCGAAGACCACCGCTAAGAAAGTGTGCTCCCGTCCCAAACGAAGACCTTCAAAAGACACATTGTGGACTCGAAAATCGGCAGCCGGGCTCGCGCCCTCCGACAATGGCCTCCCCCTGAGCGTAGCGGTTCGCGGAGTTTCTCGATCTGAGGCCGCCCAGGTGTTCCCGACCTCGTGGGGAACGTCGTTCCTGTGAGGCGTCATTCCGCTTTCCGCGAGTCATCCACCCTCGCCGCGTCCCCACTCTGGCCCCGAACAAGGCCCGCCGGGACTATTTTCCGCCAGGTTACGTTCGCGATCGCGTGGAAGCATTGGGTCTGGGAGGTCTCAATCAGCAGAGAGCCACATCCGAATCTCCTGGTGTTTGTGAGGATATTCCCGCCCGCCTTTCCTGTCGAACCCCAGACGATTGATGGTTACAGAATCTGCGAGTGTCTTGGAAATCAAATGAATTCCGGGATACACGCGATTTGAAAGAGATATTTACGATTGTATGTTGTGCGATAACGTGTAAACTCTAATTGACAAATCGATTTTCTTAGCAGTATTTGAACCTTGTATGCCGTACGTGTTCAAAAAAGAAACTTCGTTTATTTTACATCAATCATCAATTTTAGTTTTTCCCTTTCTTGAGAACTAATTCATCCTTGTTTTATATAATTTCTTTGATCTAATAGAGTTATTAAAAAACAAAATAATAGTTACATACAGCAATTGAGATATTTAAAGATTTTTAGAATAAAATTCTTTCCTTCTTGGTTGTCTATAATAAAGAAATTTTAAATCAGTTACTTGTAGGCACAATAAGAAGTTACTATTGGTATAACAAAACTAGTTGTCCATTCAACTTTGTAAACATTTTTCAATTGTACTTGATATTGAGTTCAAAATCACTGTTGTTACGGTGAAATATTTTCTAAAAATAATTTCTGATATCTTATCAAAGTTGTCACTTATTAAATACCTAATGATCTTGTAAGTCTCATTGAATTGAAAAGTGGATGTAATTGTATTTATGTTCATGGAGGAATTATGATTTGATTGATACCATATTATGAACTTTCTATTGTCGATTGATTACATTGGTAAGCCTACAACCATAATAAAATGTGCTTTGAGACATTTTTTCTAAATAGCTTTTCTCCAAATACTAATGTATCGCAAATCATAATGCAATGAGATTCACAAAACCAATAATGTTTCTGACATTTTTACTGCGTAAAGATGATACAATATCCATTTTTCACTTACTACGAACCTTTTAATTCGGTTCACGTAGTTCCAGACTGCATATGATTGCGTTTAACGTCATTAGGATACAATACTGAAAAGAAATCATGATCTAAATGTAAATTTGTCTTTTAAACATACATTTACTTTTAGGCGACAGGACTCTTGGGGCATTTATTGTATTGTGCGCGCAGCTTTGTTATCGAAAATCGTAATGAAAAAATTGTAAACTTGAATCCTCTCGTTAATTAGATTACACGAATATCTTATTAGAAATTATTTAGTAGTTTTTTCTAATATTTTAGAACAATTAGTTCAAGTGTCCCAATTAATAGGTTTCCTTTTCTAGATAAAATGCCTCTAACTATCTCGATTCGTTAAACCCCAAATGCGAAGTGTTCACATGGCTAATCCCAGAGCTCGGATGCACTCCCGCCAGCGCCCTGTCGCAACGCGAGCTCCCCGTTTGGGACGAGGCCGGCTGCAGGTGCAGGGCGTGCAGCGGCTGGGCTCTTTGATGCGTGGCTGGCGGGCGTGCACTCGTGAAGTGGGGCATGTGCGACCCGGTGCGCCCGCTATGCAAGTCTCGCGCGGCGTGTTCCTCTCTGTTCCTCTCGGGCACGCCGCCAGGGCTCCGCCGCCGCGTCCTTGTGCTCCACTCGGCTCCACGGAATGGCCTCTGCCTGGTGGAATGCGGCGAGTTGATAGCGTCGTCATTGTCAGTTAGTGCCGATACTCTGCATGTCCGAAAAATATATACTGGGTTTTGGTTGTTCAAGATAGGTTCACTTGGTGTTAATGCGATGTATGGCAAGGTTGTCTGACAATGCGATGTTGGCTAGATATTTGAGTCATCGACTTTTGGAATGAACTAACACCTCATCCGGCTGAATAGGGATATTTTTCACTTGTGTTCACTTCAATCAGATTCTACGTATATTCAATCTAATGTCCTTCGATCCGCCAATTATTAAAACCTCTGGTTAATTAATTTATCTTAACGACCATATTATACAGAAAATAATGATTATAAGTTTTGTAAATTTTACTGGTATATAATAGGGATAGGTTTCCAATGCAAATGCTTATTTTCTCCCGAAATCAGTTTGCTCACTACGCACACAAAACACCCAATTTTTAATTATTCATACGTGAGTTTAGCATGTATATATTTAATATTTTGAATGTTTTCGTAATTACAATAATCTCAAGAAAATATTCTGCATATATTGCTTCAAAACGTTTATAACTCATATATTTACTATTTCTGATAATAAATTTAATTTACAGTCGTGGTTCATTGTATCAAATATAAATTTCCTGTATCTGAATTATGCATGATATTTTACTGGAAAATCACGATCATTCCAAGTATAATTTCATAACTAGTAAAATGTGGTGTCGCCGACGATAAAAACTGTGTTGAAAATTTCCTTCATACTTCAATTCTTTCATGCCAAGCTTTATTCAAATATATTCTTGGGTATCTGGCATTGGATTTACTAACGAATCAGTAGCTGATAATGTTATACTGCCGTTCAAAAGTTCCCAACACCGAATGGCCTTGTATGTCACCTCGATACGGGATATCAATTAGTAATAATGCCATTTTAAAATTATAATTGCCCTAACAAATACTTGCAGGTATTGATGATACAAAAAGTTAGATTTTAGTACAGCTACATTTTTACGCTTTTTGCTAATATGCTCAAACATGTATAGAGCACATTTGCTGTTAGCACAAATGCTAAATGCAAAAATGCAGATCATAGCCAATTAGTTCCGAAAATTCTGTTTCAACATCTTTTACAACTATATTTGTTTGTTCCCCGGATTTGTTTAGCACTTCTATATGTTTCTCCCCTAATTTTTATGAGATTAATACTCCAGAAACTCAGTCTATTTTGTGATCACATCTACTTCTGTAATTGCTCTACTAATCGTGGTGTACGCGTGTCTATATAAACATTAGAAAGCGATTGTTTTATATCTTTATGTGAATAAGGTTAAATTAAATAAGAATAAGTTGTGGATCACCTTCCTTTGAAAAACGGTATTTGCACACTTAAGAATGTAAAAGTAAGAAGTCGAACGTAAGAGCATTCATTCATTCTCTAGCATTATTCACAGTTTTGTTTTATATATATTCAATTGAAAATCTTCAAATTTAAGTTCCGAGGCAATACTGTTCGTAGGTTTTCGCAAAATTATTTTAAAATATACGATAATATGAATGAAAATCAAAATGAAATATGCTGCGCGATTCACTTAAATATGACAACATCAGTATTGCCAGTTGTCTTGAAAGAAAATGATGGGGTATGGAGTGAAAATTGCCTTTGGGTACTGGAGTTTTGTCAACGCCACCTGCATAGATCTATTTAGGCGGCTTTGGTTTAATTCCCGGCATACTCATTAAGATTCCAGCACCAAAACACGAAAAAACACGTTTTGGGAAATTTTGTTCAATCCAATATCAAAATTTGAAAAAAAAATATCAGTTCCCCATCAGGAGAATAAGACGCATCGAATGACATCTCACATGTCTCAATTGGTGTACGGAAACACATGTCTAACCGTGAGGGACGGATCCGCACACAAGCACATACGCACATATGGAGTTACTCAAATCTGTATAGGGATATTATTATTCCATTTTTCATTGAGCAGTATATTAAGGGTAAAATGCCAGATTAATGTACTATGCAGTATAAAATTATGCACTATAAAATTATGAAAGCAATGTGATGATGTAATAATATACATTGTAGAGCATATTTTCGACGTTTTTACACATTAATACATTCATGTGTCATATATTATTCGTGCAAATAAATCCGGTCCGTAGTAATTATGTACTATCTTATTGGTATTTTAGACTGATAGTTATGGCATATTATCTTTCTAGTTTTGTTTATCTCTGTCCATGAAGCCGTGCGGCTCTGTCGTATTGAGGATTCATTGGCACTGAAATCAATTGGGGTGCGGCCAATCAACCCGAAGCAACCGCGCAAAGGCATTACACAATGGGAAATAAAAGAGGATCTCTTTCACAATAAGCAATCACACTGCTCAAATCTTTTTTATCTTTATATATTCCGGATTTATGACTTGAATAATTTCTTTAAGTAATATTGAAGGTTATAGGTAAGTGTTCCGTTTTGGACCGTATTTTTCCCAAACTAATTTTTCAATGTAAAACTTAGTAAATCAATATAATGACACATTATTCCACCCGTCACTCTTAAAAAAGATACGGATACTCGTAACTTATCAAGCTCCTTAATCGTTGTAACACATTGAGCAACTAAGTGTCATTTTTTGTATGACGACTTTCTGTCAAATTTACGGTCTTGCGCGAGACTACAGAATCTCAGACCTTGACACCTGAAAATCATAGAAACTATTCACCGGAAGCGCTGTGACATTTGAACACTTTTCCACTCGTCAGTTAGCGTCATTGTCGTAGATATGCCGTATCTTCGGTAGCAGTACTTTATTGTAAGTTTTAATTGTAAAATGTCTACAATATAAAGGTTAGAAAGAACATTAAGCCGGTCTGGATGGCCGAGATCGCTAAGGCAGTAGTGCCGTAGCGATTTCGGACCGAAAGATCGCGGATTGGAGTCGTGCCTAGGGCATGGTTGTATTGTATTCGTCCTTTCACGCCTATCAACATCATCATCATCATATCAAGTCATCGTCACAGTTTCCACACCGTTACACGCAATAGTGATCGCTAATGACCTAAAAGTTGATGCGACCTTAAATAATAAGAAAAAAGAAAACTGAGGGATGACATTGAGTTACGTTTCACATTCTTCGTTTAAAAAAAGTTTGTTTTCATATATCAAAACAGGATATGCGAAAAAGGCGTGCATTAAAAATTCAGTTTAAATTATTTTTAATGTTACCAGTTTGCTTCATTACCTATCTTTTTACGTACGAACGGTCTAGAACATAAACAGGTGACAATCCACATCCGATCTACATGCATTTTTCAGTCTCTATCTTAATTTTTACGTGTAGACCTGTTGTTGACCTGTCGCTAGGTAAGATATTCCATAAGCATATCCCCCAAGACTCCGTCTGCTTTGGGAAATCCCCCCTCCCTCTTCGTAAAAAAAGGGAAAGCTTGCTGGAACTGAGAGGCAGTTAAAGCAAAAGGAAAGCCTGACTCATGTGAACAAAACAACCACCTGTGTTTTCCGCAGTCGTCGCCAGCGCGTGCTAGCGCTTCCTGCTCCCCCTGCTCCCCCAGGTCCCCCTGGTCCCCCTGGTCCCCCTGGTCCCTTAGTGCTTGGCGTCGGAGCCGCCGCACAGCTCGCGTCGTCGGCGAAGGCGGTGGAGCGGAGGCGGCTGGAGGGCCTTGAGAAGAACGCGCGAGCGGCGGGCGAATCGTTTTGGCAGCGAGGCGCGGATCGTCCGCGACGAACGGCGCGGCCGCGGCGGGTGGCCTAAACAATACCCACAGCGCGCACAGCATTTTCTGAGATTTCCAAGCAGTGCCATGAAACATGTCGACGCACAATGAAGATCAGTTTTTGTTTAAAAAATGGATTACTTAATACTACTTTTCTTTATTAGGCGTTTGTTCTGTCGTATAGTTTTGTTTTATTATGTATGTATATATATATATATATATATATATATATATATATATATATTTATATATAGGGTTTCAGCGGTATTTATCATTTTGAAAAATTTTGCAATTAAATTCAAAAATTCTCAAAGAGATTATTTAATATTAAAATTCTCATGTAGTGTAATTATTTATATAAATGTTTACCATTTTGGTCCGAATAGTAGCAATATACGTACTTTTAGTAATGTATTCTTATCTTTACATGATTCTTAGAAACGTGTAATACTGCAAATGCGAAATAGCACTCTTTTGTGTAACCAACAGCCCGTCCCCCAAAGCAGTAATCATTTCGCTTGTTATCACCAAAATATACGCATTTTGGAAGAATAACATTTAGCGTGATTTTTTTTCAGTTTGACTTCCTAATTTCATTATTTAATTCTTTTTTCATTTTTGAATTAATTTGTATGTGTATTTGGGCCCACTTCACGTTCCGTGGGCGGTGCGTCCGCGGCCGCCCGCAGGGGATTAATTATTACATAAGATATTAAAAATACGAGTGGGGTAAAGGGCGGCGAGAAGGAGTGGGGCAGGGCGGGGCGGGAACAGGGAGAGCGCCGCAGAACGGGGTGCGGTGGAATAGGGCGAGGGGGTGAGCGCGACTGGCGGGGAGAGACTGAGGCGCGGAGGAGAATGAGAGGTGGAGCGGGGCAGGGCGGAGAGGGC